TATAATAAAAATAACCATCGATATTCATAGCACAAGTAAAAAATACATTTTCACGCCAAATGAAATCAGGTAAGGCAGAGCCATCTATGTATAGAGACATTTCACAAAAAGTATAAAAAATGAGCATAGCATTTTCCCCATTTTTTGTTCATTTTTACCTGTCACGAATAGGTTAACCCTCCTGTACCCCCATCTTTATTAGCACTTCCTGCCAAGTGACTGACATATACTGTTAGTGTGGAGGGTACAGATGAGCTGCATAATCAGTAATAGTCTTTGGAAATTGAAAGACACTACCTGGAGATTCGTAAGAAATACTCTAAGCAACTGGCACATAATAAGCAAGAGATCAGCCTAGCAACCATAATGTTGCAAAAATTCTATGTCACTGACCACAGAACTTTGAAGGTCAGTAATGTTGATAAATAATTAATAATGGAAATAGAAATGAAATGGAAAAACAAAATACAGAAATTCCCCAACTTACAAACATAATGGGGACAAAGGCTATTCGTAACTCCATTTGTTCGTATATCCAAAGTCGGGTCTCCATTGCCTTTTTTCCCATTGTTTTAGTTTTGTTTCCATTAAGAATACCTGTACATAAATCCCAATAAGTATTTTTGATGGATTGATGCACAGGTAAAGCGCTTGTGAACTATATTCGCATCCGGGAAATTTGAAGTTTGCAAGCATCTTTAGGGGACTAACTGTATAAACACATATACATTTAATAAAGCAACCAAAGAGATCGAGTAGCACCAAAAAATGAGAAGAAAGATATTGAGGAATATGAAAAAATAATGATGAAGGAACTAATTGGAAATGATTTCCAGAAATCATTATAGAAAATAGGCGTATAGAAAATGTATAAAATGGAGAAACAGAAAATGAGACATTAGCTTTCAGGCTAATACAGTGGTAACGTGTGGGCTTCTCATCCGAGGGGTCGGTGGCTCGCGTCCTGCCCAGGCTTGAGAAGTTGCAATTGTCGCCTGGGGGTTACTGCTGTGGCTGGGCACCACAGCGGGTAAGGACAAAAGCCAAGTCAGCACCAGCTGACACAATGTTAGCGAGTCGACATTATTCAACACAGGCCGGCTCCCCTCAGCCCAGGCAAGGCTCAGCTTCGCATATTGGACTTATCCTTATCCTTGACAAGACATTAAGGACTCTGTGGCCGTGTGAGGGTATTATGGACTTGGTCTCTGAGCGGTGGCACACAGCATATAATGCTGTATTACTTCCTACTCTATTTTTTATGTTTTATAGGATGGCAGTGTTCATTTTCCTATATCAGAAAATATGTAGTATAAGGTAGTGGCAGAGTTGGGTAATAAAACCTATATGAAATGTTAAAACAATACAAAGCAAGACAAAGTTCTTCTACGGCAATATGTGTGCAAATGCTTCCCAAGGGACTATACATAAAAGAAAAGTGGAGATCCCCCATTTTTGGCTAAGTCGCTCATTTTGTTTACATTGCAAGCATGAATGCTAGACGCATACATTACCACAGGGGTCCAGGGGGTATAGCCCCCTGGGTAGTTGCATATATTACCACAGGGGTCTAGGGGGTATAGCCCCCTGGCAAGGGAATATATGCCACAGTGTTAAGTTAGGTTTAATCTTGGTTTAGGACGTTTTGTTTAACAACCACGGGGGTTCTGTTTTACCCCATAATTTCCCTGATATACTTCATGCCCTCCCCAGCTATAGGGACTATCAAATCAAGATTGTCGATGGTGATCATATCTCCACAACAATTCATTTGCACAAGAAACAATGCCTAGAATCATTGAAAGCAGTGTAATTCATGCAGAAAAATATCAAAATTGTTTCAAAAGTAACCCACTACCCTCTTCTACATATTGACCCCTTTATCTTTGTGCGACGCTCTCAGTAACCCTAACATTAACCCTGACTGATATTGAAATGTTTATCATAGGCACACTATGTGAATACACCCTAACAAAGTGACTATGTACTTAATTACACAATACATTCAGATAATTTTGTACTTAAAATTTAAAAACTCCCTTACACAACAGAACATTAAAAATTATATATTAAACTTGTTTGATCTACTGCATCTTTTTTTTCGAAATTTCATACTGGGCCTGAAAGAAAGCTTTGGCGATTTCGCTGACACTGGCACCAAAGGCACCAAAGGCACCGAAGGCATCCGACCCCCAAACTCTCTCGCCTGAACAGACGCCTTAGCACTCCCTTCGCTGGGAATTTAAACTCCTCCAGTTTTCAAACAACACTTATTTTCATCGTCACCCTCGCTTAGTATCCCTTTCTCCCTGCCTAGTTATACCACCCGAAAGTTCTGCAATGTCATGCAAGCCCGAAATAACGCAACGGTGGAAAAGCCTTACGTTTGCAGCTGAGAGCGTGGGTTCACGTGCTTGCTCGGCGGCGGCAGACAACACACGGAGACAACGTGCGGTTTCACATGGGCTGGATTCCGGGATTCTTTTCCGATAAAAAATTGTTTGTGGGGTTATTATATCGTTAATTGGTATCGTATTTTGGTATCGATTATATGCAATGAATTGTAATCTTAATTGGTATCGTATTTTGGTATCGATTATATGCAATGAATTGTAATCTTATTTATGTTATGTTTTATTGTTTTGTATTGTTCTATGTTTTAACGCGCATTTTGCATTCAAATCACACTACTTTTAACCAGTCGAAGGTGTATATGGTGGGGAGGGGGGCTAATAGTATTGATATTAATTATCATTACCAATAATTAGTTTATCAAATAGGTATTCTCGTACATCCGTTCCCGTTCAACAGTCATCATCAACCTGTAAACCACTTCTTAGCCCGTTATAAAAATCACATAAAATCTGTTACTATTACTATTTAATATATATATATATATATATATATATATATATATATATATATACACACACATATATATATATACATATCTATATACATATATATTAGCATTTAGTATGTATATATAATACTTTTTAGTATATAGATATTTTCGACTGTTGCCCATTGCACTGCAGCTTCATCTTCTAAAGGTTTTTGTTGTGTGTATGTGTGTGTAGTTATTATTCTATTAAAACAACCAGTGGATATGTTACAATATTCAAAAAGCTGCATTCACAGAAATTGAAGGAGCGTTACACGTGTGAATATTCATTATCATAGCTTGGTGGCAATGACAGTGAATATATCCCTCATGATTATATAAATTTTCTCTTGGATATAATTGATAATAAAAAATAGAATTAGTATTTGTTCATAACAATATTTGTAAAATATTTCTTCCGAGAATGTGTTCACTGCCACACAGATACTTCTTTCAAAAGCCAAAAATATTTTTTTTTAATATGAAAATATTTCTTATAATAATATAAAAGATAACATTTCTCTGTGATAAGTAAAAACTAAATATACTTACCCAATACACACGCAAAATAATCGTGATTAAAAAAAAAAAAATGTAAGCCCCAAATACTTGTTTACAAACCGTAGTAGTTGTGTCACAGGAAAAGGTAATGACTGTGGTAATCGTCCTGCCTATTGTGATTGAATGGGATACATCGTAGCGTCTCAATATATGCCAAATGCATAAAAGTAGACGTTTGTTCAATAGGGTGCTGATATGTGCACCATCGTAACCTTTGGTAACCGTAATGTAGAGATTTATTCTGCTGATGATTTTGAGTCCGTTTTCGCTTTCTTTACACACTCGATTTTTAAACATAAGCTATATTTTTCACTTATATTTAATTCGAGAATTATTTCTGTAGAAAATCCCATGTTGAGATAAGTCGATAATGACGTTTAATGAAATAGAGACGGCAATTGTATCCAACGGTAAATATGTCCGCTAGGTACGTGTGTATTTCGAGAGGCGGCGCCAGGTTTTTGCCGTTTCCAGTGCTCCAGGCTCGGCCGTGCGCCTCAGAAGCCCCCCGGGAAATAAAGACTATTTTAGCGGCATTTTGCAATGAATTCTCAGGAAGGGCTTATTCAAATTATGTCATTGGACAATTGAACTTCAGCCTTGTTTTAAATTTTTTCATATCCGTGTAGTGGTTGTCTGTTGTCTATATAGATATATATATATATATATATATATATATATATATATATATATATATATATATATATATATATATATATATATATATATATATATATATATATATATATATATATATATATATATATATATATATATATATATATATATATATATATATATATATATATATATATATATATATATATATATATATATATATATATATATATATATATATATATATATATATATATATATATATATATATATATATATATATATATATATATATATATATATATATATATATATATATATATATATATATATATATATATATATATATATATATATATATATATATATATATATATATATATATATATATATATATATATATATATATATATATATATATATATATATATATATATATATATATATATATATATATATATATATATATATATATATATATATATATATATATATATATATATATATATATATATATATATATATATATATATATATATATATATATATATATATATATATATATATATATATATATATATATATATATATATATATATATATATATATATATATATATATATATATATATATATATATATATATATATATATATATATATATATATATATATATATATATATATATATATATATATATATATATATATATATATATATATATATATATATATATATATATATATATATATATATATATATATATATATATATATATATATATATATATATATATATATATATATATATATATATATATATATATATATATATATATATATATATATATATATATATATATATATATATATATATATATATATATATATATATATATATATATATATATATATATATATATATATATATATATATATATATATATATATATATATATATATATATATATATATATATATATATATATATATATATATATATATATATATATATATATATATATATATATATATATATATATATATATATATATATATATATATATATATATATATATATATATATATATATATATATATATATATATATATATATATATATATATATATATATATATATATATATATATATATATATATATATATATATATATATATATATATATATATATATATATATATATATATATATATATATATATATATATATATATATATATATATATATATATATATATATATATATATATATATATATATATATATATATATATATATATATATATATATATATATATATATATATATATATATATATATATATATATATATATATATATATATATATATATATATATATATATATATATATATATATATATATATATATATATATATATATATATATATATATATATATATATATATATATATATATATATATATATATATATATATATATATATATATATATATATATATATATATATATATATATATATATATATATATATATATATATATATATATATATATATATATATATATATATATATATATATATATATATATATATATATATATATATATATATATATATATATATATATATATATATATATATATATATATATATATATATATATATATATATATATATATATATATATATATATATATATATATATATATATATATATATATATATATATATATATATATATATATATATATATATATATATATATATATATATATATATATATATATATATATATATATATATATATATATATATATATATATATATATATATATATATATATATATATATATATATATATATATATATATATATATATATATATATATATATATATATATATATATATATATATATATATATATATATATATATATATATATATATATATATATATATATATATATATATATATATATATATATATATATATATATATATATATATATATATATATATATATATATATATATATATATATATATATATATATATATATATATATATATATATATATATATATATATATATATATATATATATATATATATATATATATATATATATATATATATATATATATATATATATATATATATATATATATATATATATATATATATATATATATATATATATATATATATATATATATATATATATATATATATATATATATATATATATATATATATATATATATATATATATATATATATATATATATATATATATATATATATATATATATATATATATATATATATATATATATATATATATATATATATATATATATATATATATATATATATATATATATATATATATATATATATATATATATATATATATATATATATATATATATATATATATATATATATATATATATATATATATATATATATATATATATATATATATATATATATATATATATATATATATATATATATATATATATATATATATATATATATATATATATATATATATATATATATATATATATATATATATATATATATATATATATATATATATATATATATATATATATATATATATATATATATATATATATATATATATATATATATATATATATATATATATATATATATATATATATATATATATATATATATATATATATATATATATATATATATATATATATATATATATATATATATATATATATATATATATATATATATATATATATATATATATATATATATATATATATATATATAGATACAATTTGGGTCTTGTGGTATAGACATGGGATTGTTCATTTCGTGGGCTTTCTTTGCCGCTAGATCAACAATTTCATTTCCCTTTATGTTTTTGTGTGATGGAATCCACTGTATCATAATCTCTTGTTTTTGTGTTGAGAGAAAGTGTATATGTTTTTGTAATTCGTATGTGATTTGTTTATAGTTTAGTGGTTTGGGTTTTGTATTAATTGTAGTGATGATTGTGAGTCTGTAAGTATTATTGTTTTAGTCAGTTTATTATTTATTGTATATTTTAGTCCTTGTTTTATGGCAAATAATTCTGCTTGGATGATTTCTATTTTAGGAGACAATTTCCAAATAGTTGTTATATTTTTGTTTTGGATATAGATTGCTGCTGAGGTTGAATCTGGTTCTTTTATTTTTGAACCATCAGTGAAAATTCTGTTAAAGTTTTTATAATTCATATTTATTAACTCCTGGAATTGTTTTTGGATAATTATTTGAGGAGTATTTTTTGTTATATTGTTCATAAAGTTTAATTGTATGTTTTTTGAAATCTCTGTATACTAGTTATCTTTTATCTCTTTGAGGATTGTATTTTTTTATGCATTTTGTTATTTGTTATATT